GCAGTTACTTCACTCACCTTAGCAAAAGGCTTTTATTTTATTTTTTTTTTACAAATTATACAAACACAATGGACCTGTATGCAGATGACAGAAAGGTGAGAAAATCCAATCATTTCAAAATGATCGCCTACTATGTTCAAGTTCATTTAAATGGATGGTGTTGAAAATAAACTTGAAACCTGTGCACAGGTTTTTAACATATACAACATCCACATCTGAGAGAATATGTTTGTGCATGCTTTATTTGCAGGCTAAAATGCACAGTTACACGGACATAGAATGCCACATACATAAACTACTGCTCTCCCAATGCATTGCAAATGAGTCAGTACCTGTTAAGTGAAGTCTGAATGTTATCCATAGACCGCCAAAGTACAGGCCAAAACCAAGTACCTGTCTCTAAGCTATGATTTGTCCTGTAACAATTACCCAGATATTCCTATTTTAGTGATACCTGATCAGAAAAGACGTTAAGAAGAAGATCTGAATATGTGTCTAACGTTCAAACTTCAACAAAAAACGTACTACCACTCAAATTTAGAGGGAACCTAAATTGGAGGTTGCAGTCCAGTAATTCAACAGGCTAAAATGGTATGCCTCTTAATGTAAATATTTATTTGAACATAAAAACCATACGTTTAGTCAACTTAGTTCTTTTTTAGTAAGAACAGATAACCAAGACAAGCTAACCGTAAGGAGGGGGGTGAATAGGGAGAAAACTGCAGAAAGAAACTAAGGATGGTTGATGTCTAGCAATGAGAGTCATTTTCAAAGACCATTAACTAGCAACTGCTTTACTCAAGGCTTTGATTAAATAAGAATATACATCCTATGTTAAAAGGGATGTCTATCTGATTGGAACAGGGTTTAGAATAAAAATATATTGTATGAAGTATAAAGAAGAATCAAACTGCAATATACAATTAGGCATTTGACTCATAAATATCATATATAAGCTTTGTAAGTTGTTGGTGAATAAATATTCAAATTTGGGAAGGGTAAGAAGTTGGAAAAAACCATTTTCATTTTAAATTATAGATTCCATAAACTGAGACTGTTTGCCTGTATGAACAGAAAGAACTAAAAGACCTTGCAGAGAAAATTCATATTTTGCATGTTTTTAAATGTATTCCACCAATGTTTATATATCTATGTCTATATATATCTTATAGTATTTATTGTTTTTCTGAAAGGTGCTAGTTTTTTATATTAGTAAGAAAGTTTGCTTTACTCTGTCATATCTGTGGTGAGCAGATACTCTGGTATTAACGTAAATCATTGATTTAATTTTTAGCTTTCTTGGTTTGCCCCTTACCTATCTAGGAAATGATTTCTCTGGTGATAACTAACACATCATGCTAATGAGAGAATCTAATGCACAACAGAAAAATGTCACTACTAATAATATTTGCATGAAGTTAAATAAAGCAACTGTAAGAGAATGTCAGACAGTTGTTCTTTAATAAGACACAGTTTCACAATGAAATTATGTTGTTAATTTTGTTACATCATTGGGTGAATCCTAAATTACTACATAATGATGCACAGAGTCATTTATAATTCTAACTTAGTATTTCACTCGAGTCTGAGAAGAGATCTTATTAAAGGATCTACATTTTATTTGAAACAGGTTAAATATACCTCACCAAGAATAAAAGGTAGTCACATGTGAAATGTGGGCTATAGCCATTTACCTGTATGGTTTCGTTTCTGAAAAGATTTTTTAAATAGATTAGACTATTCCATCCCTTGAGATAGATACAAGAATTTTTTGCTATTCTCTCTAATGCACAAAATATTTATAAAAATGGAAACATTATCTTTTAAAGGGAGTGATTTAAAAAAAAAACTTCCAAAAGAAGGTCTTATTTTTTGCTTTTAACAATACCTCATGAGATTAAAATAAGCAAAATATGGTTCATTCTTCACCTATCACTGACCAAAGTGACCCAAAGAAGAACTCCCTTTACAAAAGTCAAGAGTTGCATCTTTTAAGGTTCTCAAATATTCGTCTATGTTTGTCTATTTACAAACAAATGATATATTATAAGAAAATAAAACCTCGGCATAGGAGGAAAAAAATGTAGAGAGGCAGGAAAATGCAGTCGAATAGTTTTATCTCAAACTTTAGGGGAACGTACTTAATCCCACTAAATCTAAATTGGCCTTGGGCTGTGATGTCTTTTTGTTAGTATTAGAAGGATTTACATCTAAGCAGATACAACTTTGCTCATATGAAACAAAAGACAAAGATTTTTTATCTCCCTACACAAAACTACATTACTAAATTTCATTATTCATGAGATATCTGCCACAAGTTTTTCTGTAGTTAAATATGGGTGGTAAATTCACTATAACTCAGTTTTGAAACCTTTTGTAGTAGTAGCCCATTAGTCAGTCCTTTCTCATGTTTAAAGAAATGTTCAGAGAAATACTACAGTTTTTATCGTATTAAAAAAAACTTTAAAAGAAAAATGTGCCTAATAAATTGTATTTATCTCATAAACTAAATAAATGTTATTTAGAAATTAAAATAATCTTAATCTAGAAAACACTCTTTATGCCTTACAAATAGATATACAGAATTCTGCATACCTGATTAATGGTACAAACTCTCAGCTATAACAAAAGCTGATTTAAGGTGTATATTGACACTAATATTACTTGAAACTGTTGGCTTGAAGAGATATCAGAGATATCATTTCAGTAAGTCTGTCTGTCTCTCTCACGTGCTGAATCAGCACTGCTGATGAACTATAGGTAAGGAAAACAAACATATTAAACATATACAGCACACATACTTTTACACACAGCTTGAACTTAAGTTTACACAATATTTAGACAAATTAAAATGTCATCTACAAGAGAAAATAACAACACGTAAACTCATACTCTCTTTTACATGCTTTCCAAAAATGCACAAAAGGTAAACATTTAGTAAGCATGACAGAGAAAAGGGCAGTAAGGATGATCACTAACTACATCAAAACCAAAACACTGAAAGAAACACATTTAAAAAAATAGCAAAATCACAATATTTTTTAAAATTGTGATTTCTCTTTACTGTACCACTGTTTAATAAATAGTATAATTAACAGTGCACAGTTAACATAGCATTCATTAAGCATAAATTACTTCCCAACATTTCTTTTCACTTCATATAGTCACTGGTCTCACTATTACACACATGCACTCAGGTACACGCAAAATAGATCTTTATATACCTACACAGTCTGACAGCTGGATCAAAGACTTCATAAATTTTCCTAATTCTGAGCCATCATTTACATTTACTTTTATTTGTTTTTTAGCTAAAATGTTTTCCAGGACTTAAAGTCTCCTTAGATTCAAATCTACTTGGAAATGGGCTAGTGCCAAAGAAGCAATCTAACACCATCTATGTGGTTCAATAGCCATTTATCAATTGATCATTATCTCTATCTGGTTTTATTAACTCTTTTCTAGCTAGAGGGAGACCTACACCAATCTTCCCTTCCAACACACACACACACACACACCCCTCCACTAACTCAAGGAAAACCCTGAAGGTGACATCTAATTTTTAAAGCGTGGCACAAGTTATTTGGTAGTAAGGTTAGTGAAAGCACACTCTCTTCCAATCATAAAAGAGTCACCCAGGCAGGGATGTGTCACAGAAAAACACCTCTGAAAGCACTCTGCAGTGACAAGGGGCATCTCTGGGTGGAATGAACTTCTCACTTGCAAGAATGGGAAACTGCACATCAAGAGTTGCTTATTGGGTTTATGTTGATTGCATTTAAATCCCAGCTTACTGTATCAGCAGTAATCAGGGTCCCTCTACAGGATATGTCAAAACGCACCTTATTCAAACACATTTATCCTATCTACAACTGTGTGATAAAAACTGTTCTCCAGCTAAATACTGCAAAACCTTGGCTGTGTGTATTATCTCTTGCAGATGTTCTTCTAAACTGGTAGCAGTTTACAGCCTGGCAAGTGTTTTCTTTCCTTTAGGATCAACAATTTTAAAAATCCAGCTCGCAGTATTTAATTTGTGTGAACTCACACAACCCGGGGGTTTTTAAAAAGAAAGCGGCTGCAGGATCCAGCCCCCCCCCCCTCGGCGGAACGGTGTCCGTCTCCTGACAAGGGCCATCAACTTCAAACCCCAGTCTCGGAGCCGGGGCTCCCGCGTGCCGCGGGGGTGACAGCCTCCAAGGAACTCTTCGCGTGGGGTGGGTCTGCTGCAGGCTTGGAAAAAGCAAGACGCGTCTCGCAGGGCGGCACCGGGGACTTCCCTCGCTCACTTGCGCGCGCTCCCACCGGAAAGTTTCGGGGTGGCTCCCCGCCGCGCGCTCTCGCCCTCGCTCCCCCGCGGGGCCCGCAAC